ATCGGGAATACATGTACGTGCCGGTCGGAAAAGTTGATTTGGCAGATTGTGGCGGTCGGCAATTCTGCGTGCTGGTCGGGCCCGACCGGCGCCGACCGGCAGCGGCAGATCCCTGCGTATGCACACGCTCATTGCAGTTGTCTCGATGTTTTCACTGGCAGAGTGTTGCTACCCCCTATTAAAAAATTACGTGAAACTCCTGGATGTCCGCGCTGCACTGCGCCATAGAAAATTTTGCATTTTATATCCAAGTTTATGCATCTCACACTTGAAATAATTCAAAATATGGCACTTCATGTGTCCTTCCTCCATGTTTCATCTATGACATGACATTGTATGATCGTAAACAATAATTATGATGAATTTGAAATGTGCTGGCACATGCACACTGACTGAGACGGTCCCAACCAACTGAACTGATGCTATAGTTGGGGCGCAACAAATGTTACATGTGTACACACTGTATACTGTACGAACGGGTCCCCTCGCAGTATTCAAAAATCCAAAACGCTAAAAACGCCGGGCATAGGCCTACCTGACTCACGCTTCGACTGCTCCTGTACAACAGCCATGTTTGTACTTTTTGGCTTGTACGGATGGATCGTCCTTTGCAGGCTTTAGTCCAGGGAAATCATACGAAACGACTCAGAAGTTCTCCCGGAACATAACATCATTTATGCTAGACCTACATGTACGTGTAAAATGTCCCACACGTACAAAATGTTGTGAAGGCCGTCTCACAACCGGAAAAAGCACACTTTTGTCATGATAATTCACCATTTGAGTCCCTGGGTATCGGTAACCCGCGTGAAACAAGAATTACACACGTGTTGCACGTTGTGCAGCTAGCAGTAGCAGCAGGCTGAACCTACCTAGTACCTAGTACCTAGCCGCGGATTGGGCTCAAAATTAAAATCTAGCCGCGTTTTCAGCCGCGTTCTCAGTCGCGATTTGGTAAAAACAGAATACATGCACTATAAGGAGGTCAAAGTATAATAATTTCTGTAAACCATACATTGATTTTAATCAACGAATGTTTAAAGTTATGTTCTCAATTAAAGTTACAAACTTTCACAACGGAAAGCACTTTTTAAAATTAATTAGGAAGTCCGGGCATTCAGAAGGCATAATTTCATTCAGAAAAAGGCCTTACAAAAGCCATAAAATTGATTATCCATTGAATTTCACGATTTCCACCTAAATACTGCAACAGTAGACAGTCTGCCCCCTTTAAAACAAAATATACACCATACACTTTAGATATTGTCAAATTTTATTTCATGTTTTTATTGTCTCGTCATGTTTGCGGATCAAATTTTGGAGGGGGCTAAATCAGACAACTAATTGGGAACATCTTTTTCTACGCTTCCAAAGAAAATACTGTAGGGTCTATGTGGCTGAAAGTAATGTGCACCACATACTTTCGATATTGTCCAATTTTACTTCGTATTTGAATACGGCCGATGCACAATAGTGCGCCAGCAAGAGTTTGCAACGCGTTGGCTGATCACAATGAGCGTTGGAAAAGGGTCAACAGATTTCGCGCGTTATGATTGGCCAACGTATTTCAAATTTTTGCTGGCGCGCTATTGTGAATCGCCCGTTTCGATCCGTCCTCTGGGCATATTAGTTTTGGAGGGGACTAAATCGGCCCACTCATAATGTCTTAACTAAAGGCCTCATTGCGGGGAAAGCCTTTTCTACGCCTCCAAAGTGTAATACTGTACGTGACTGAAAATAATGTCCCTTTAAAACAAAATGTACACCACATCAGTGGCGTAGCCACGGGGGCTGGGGGCACGTGCAAACCCCCCACAAATTTCTGGTGCCCCCCCCCCGGGCCACACTGAAAAAATACGGAGAAATGAATATTGAACAAGGCAAACAAAAACTTGCCCCTAAAAGCCACACCCCTGAAAGTTGGTGCCCCCTATAAGATGCTGGTGCCCCTTTGTGCCCCCACCAGTAAAATCCAAGCTACGCCGCTGCATTCATTTAAAAACTGCCTTATTGAAGAAGTTTATTAACAAGACTTATGACGCTCGCTTGCAGTATTTAACTGGGTTGAACTCTTACATATCTAGGCTAGTCTACTGCTTTTGTGCTTTGTATATTTTATTTGCATTCTTTTTTAATTTACTTTTCACTTTTTAATTTATTTTAAACGATTTTCTTAATTGTCTCAGACGTGATGCGGCACTTTTAAAATTATTTGGTTTTCTTTATATTATTGCTGTTCTACATTTCGCACTGTTTCTCGTTTGCTTTTGTTTTTTTATTTACCGGTTGTTCCTACCACATGTTTAAACTATCTGGAACTTCTTATATTGGTCTGTTCTATTTATATTTTCGAAATTATAGAGGGTGCTTAATTTTTTAGATTAATATTTGTAAATATTTGTATTCTTTTAATATAATATAATATTTATCATATTTTTGTTACCTCAGTTTTGTTTGTATTCATTAATCGTTTTTTGGTTATTGTTGTATTTTGATTCCTTTTAAAGTTCTTTTCTGGTTTGTTTTATGTATTTTTATAACCTATTTAGGGATAGCTTTATATATATGACTGTTTTATAGTCTTGTTGGTTTTTAATATGTACATTTTTGTTTTTATGTCTTGTCAGCCGGTGTGGAGAGCCCCTAGATAGAAACTTTTGGGCAATCCTTTGGGGCATGCATCGGCTGACGGTTTTCCATTTTCTCTGTGTCTCTCTTGTCCTTTTCCCTGAGAAATCAAATAAATAAAAAAAATAAATGCATCACATTCTTCCGAGGTTGTCCGATATTGTCCGATATTTCAATATTTTATTTCATATTTCCATTGTTCAGTCCTCTGGGCAAATCAAAATTTGGAGGAGATTAAATCTTATATGTACACAATCTGTACTATTCACAATATTTGAAATGAATTTATTTTATAAATTTCTCGATTCTATCATACAAAATATACACCATTCCGTATTTACAATCAGATGTCTCTCAAGTGAGCGTAGCTACAACTCCGAATCCGAATTAAATTAAACTTATCGAATGAATGTCTATTCACACACGCATGAAAATAAGTATTTGCAATTCAAGTATTTACAGGTAAGTATGTGTGAAGTTCACTGTAAACTTACAAATCTAGTGCATAAAATAGATACATACTTGATAGTTTTCAATCCCTTGTAATATAATGCTGTAAAATTTCAGCTCTGAAAAGCACTTCAAAATACAAGAATTATCAATCGAAGTTCCTCCGAGGAAAATCAGTATTCGAAAGAAAACTTCCAAACAAATGTCAGTATCAATTCAATGAGATTATCAGGTATGGTGGAATTTACTTCAGTAGGCGAAATGCCCAACAAATTGCAGTATAAACTCCAGAGAAAACAAGATTGATTAAAAGTATGCCACAAGCTGGAATAATCTGAAAGGCTCAAGGCATGTACATGTAACAGAAGATCTTTAAGTCAACACTTGCAAGTGTTATCACTTCATGTACGTCTGCTCTCAAATTTAAAATATCTGACATACAGTTCGACGTAATATCAAGTTCGTCCCTCCTTGATTACAAGAATCCGCCCTTGCTAGCTTGCTCATCAACTCTGATACATCTGGGGGACCACATCCGCAACTTAGAAGTGAACCCTCACTGCAGTGTGCTGTGACCAACATTCGAATTCAAGAACCAGCCATCGAGCGTAAGGAGGAACAGAACTCAACCAGTCTTTGGGCCAAGCTCAGATCTTCAAGGCCATCTAATTGAAGCAATAATTCACCAAAATGCCAAATAGTATGGTACAATAACAAAAATTTGTATCTCAATCTCGAACAGTCATTTCAAAGAAAACTTGTCGGAACTCAAACTACTATGATCAGTAATTTAGCATCAAGTTCATTACGAACAAATCTTTAACAAATCAGTTGATGCTGTTAAAGTTTACAATGTCACTCCATCCAGTTTCTTTGAGAGTTGCAACCAAAAGCACTGATATAAGACAAAATAACTTGAATTTAAACTTATGGTTTTCTCCATTTTTCTAACTTGAATCTTGGAATGTCAATCAGCCGCTACGATGATCGTCACAACCAATTTTGCCTCATAAGCAGCCTGGCAAATCTGCTACTGGCCGTGGCAAATGGCGCAACCAAAGTACAAGACTCACGCAATATTGGGATAGGGACTATCAACTCAGCCCACACACTTCATCATCACGACGCATCTCTCAGTTTCTACTGTCTTTTTGTTGTTTTATTTTAATGGCGCTTTCAGCAACTCGGGCTATTTACGCCAATAACTGTATGTTTATTCATACACTTTATTAATCAGCATCACATTACGGAGTTAGGAAGAAGATCCAGTTTTAAGAGGCAGGAGGAAACTGGAGTACCCGGAGAAAACCTGCGAGAGCGAGTATGGACTGGAAACCAAATGCACTTAAAGCCTGGGCCAAGCCGAGACTCGAACCCGGGCCTCATTGGTGCAAAGCGAGGAAAGAACCGCTACGGTAACCCGCTCCCCCGTACTTCTATTGTCTATCACTGTTCATCACATATTTATACTCAGTTGTGCTCTGCTCACATTCAAATCGCCCATAGAACTCCAGCCTTAACTTCTTTACCCACACAACCTGTGACAAGTCTTTACAAAGGAAAGCTCCACTGCAATACAAAAGGCAAGGTAGCGCATCGAAATTCCTAGTCAAAGTGGGTGAAAAATTTGCTTGTGAGAACAGAAGAAAACATGAAGGAGTGAAGTGATGAATTAAACATGAAGAGAAAGTCTAGTGAATAATGCATGCTAAAGTTTAGTTCAGATTAATTGGGCACAGGAGCTGACACTGAAATAGAAAATATCTGACATTAATTGACCTGATAGAAAAATAGGAATAAAATATGGAATTAATTAATGGAGAATTCTGACAGTCACTACGACCCGTTTCTGGGTAAGCACATAAAGTACATGTAACGGTTCCCATACTATCACGGTAGCCATATTAGCGCACCCTTATTAAATTCTATGGTTCTCATTTCTTTTACCACTTGAGATAAGGTCGGTCAGTCGAAAAAAAAGCTTTAAAAAATTCATGTTGCTGGTGTAGGGCTATGCACGAACCTCAGTGGGCCACGGAAAGGTGCGGTATACCGTGCGCCGACCCTCGCTGTTGGTCGTTTGCTAAATCGTAAAGTTTCAGGGCTTTTGTTTTCAAAGGTCATGCTGGCCAATTTTTTTCCCTTCAGTTTTTTTTTTTTTTTTGGGGGGGGGTTAGGTCTTTTTAGCAGGGTCAGCGAGGAAAAAAAAAGCTTTTTATTTCCATGATCGGGTGCCCAAATTAGGGTCGGTCGGAAATGAGAACCATAGAATATAGAAAGGGTGCCCTTCTCGCGGTATCGGAAATTTTGAATTTTGCGTTGCCAGTGGGATAAGTTTCCAAAAGGCAAAATTCACACAATTAATAAATTATGGCCCGAGGATAAGTTTATTAAAACAGAGTGAAAAATTCTGCATGTTTCCGTACGTTTTGATAATTTTTTAATCAAAGATGTAATTTTCCCCGCAATTTGAAGATTTTTCTTCACCGTGTCATTCATTATCTACCGTCTGTCTCTTTAATAGTTATTTTTAACGCCGCCCTACCCTTGGATATCCTAGCTGGGTTCCCATATGTCACTGCTGGAATGGTCAAATAGTCATTTTTACGGAAGCGTACCTGTTTCGCCAGGGTGTATTAGTATTTAGCCCGGGCGAAATAGCCATTACACCGGGAGTGCCGTAGATTCGTTTGTCAGAATGCAGGATAATTTCCTGGGGGGGGTGACTCAGATTGGCCGTTTCGACTCCTAGCCATTGTGTAGAAGATGAAAAATGGCTCATGAAGTGCGCTCTCACTCCCGCATTTAGCAAATGCAGAGATAATCTCCTTATTAATCACCTTTTTCACGCAGA